CCCCCCCCCCCCCCCCCAAAACACTACCAACCCACACACAACAACAATAAATAATAATAAGAGAAAGAACAATTGGGGAAGAACAGAGAGAGGGAGGGAGGATGGATCAATAATGTAGGATTTGTACTTTTAATGGGATGCCATTTTGACTCGTGTGTTATTCCTTCTTGCAGCTGTTGGGAGATATCTTGCTGGACCGTTCAAATTCGGCTGTGATGACTCGATACGTTAGCTCACGGGACAACTTGAGGATCCTTATGAATCTTCTGAGAGTATGATTCCCTTCTGGGTTCTAGATTCAGATGCCCAACCTTGTCCCCTTCCTTCTCTACCGTCAAGTGGAACTGGGGAAAAAAGATGGTAGATAAAAAGTGATGGGACCTAAAACAAAAATTTTACAGCCCCAAAAAAGCCTAACATTAGATGCATTTACAACCAGAAAATATCCCATGTATTTCTTTCGGTATTTGTAATGGTTACACTTATACTGTCTTATTTGTTAAATGGTTTATTCTGCCTTCTGCCAGGAGTCGAGCAAGAGTATTCAGATTGAAGCCTTTCACGTTTTTAAGGTACGGCCAATACTTGGCTAAACTTGCATGTGATTGATATAGGCTACTGTACATTCATTTCTGACCACACGCAAAAAATTGCAGTTATTTGCGGCCAATCAGAACAAGCCCCCAGATATTGTTAGCATCCTTGTTACAAATAGAAGCAAGCTTCTACGTCTCTTTGCTGATTTTAAAACTGAGAAAGGTACAAGAGTAAATAATTGACACCTATAATCTACCATATTCATATTTAACAAAATTCTAAATCTTGGTTCTTGATACAGAGGACGAACAGTTTGAGGCCGATAAGGCCCTGGTCGTCAAAGAAATTGCTGCACTTGAACCGAAATGATACCCATCAGTCTGTCTCCAATTATTTATCAACTGTGATGGCAATGTTGTATGGGTGATTCCAGTCGATGGTTTCTTTTTCCAAATATATTTGTGAATTAATAGTTCTTAGCCCAAATATTACGAAGATTGATGCAAAATGGATTTGTAATGTTCCAATTCTGTATTCATATATAATTTTATTAACTCAAATTTCTTTAGAATATTACTGGGCTCACTTGAAATAATTTCAGGAAAGGTGAAACAAAGCCAATATTATGAATGGCATGAAAAAAAGTGTAAATTGACGGTGCCAGCTTAATGGCATGTGTTGGATTTTATGCAGTCTGATCAAATAAAGCTTACTGGCTAAGAAAGAATTAATAATCTTTTAGCTTGTAAAGCGATAATTATTTTTTGACGAATGTTTGGCGTCGAGCATAATGCATAAAAATGCGAATATGCCCTATATAATTCAAACGCTGGGGGATAAAGTAACCTACTACTTTTCTCTTATCACAACGTTTTGTGGGTAGCTGGCATGATTCGTGTGTGGTTTGTGGAGGATTACAAATTTAGAACGAACAAGCAATCTTGGCATATTCTGTGAGCATCCATCTTTTCTCTAAAAAAATAAAAATGAAAAAATAAATTCTAGTTGATAGTTTATGATTTGATATCTTCAAGAATAAGGCTATTTGTACAATTGTTGTAGACAATATTGATGTTGTCAAAATTTGGACCATTGATTTAAAAATAGTTTTTAAAATAAATGAATGTAATGTTACCAAGCATGTGTTGTCAATCAAAATTGTAAAAAAATATTGTACAAGAAGTATGATTGTTTCTTCACTATTCAAAAGCTTGGCTCATCCCACAACTGAGTCGAGATGGCTTGCCTTGCGCTCAAGGTGAGCTGCAAGCACGAGCCAAACCGCAAAGGCTCACCACAGGGCGAGCTAGCTTGCGCACGAGTTGACTTGCCATCGGCTCACCTTTTTGTGCAGTCTGCCTGGCTTCTTTTTTGCAACTATTTAGACTGGGGCACACTACAAGAAAATGGTTGTAAATCAGCACGGTACCAGGTACCTAAAATTTTATAATTTGAATTATTATTATTATTTCTTGAATTCAAGTCTTTGCAATCTCTTATGCTAATGTTGTTGAAAAATTAATCAACAAAAAACTCCATCCAGATTTGAATGCAAAGAATTTTCAATTGCATTTTTTTTCATATTTTTAATTTATTAGTGTAAGATGGCCTTAAGTTTATTACACCATAGTAGACAAATTAGATAGGCTATTGCTTTTATTTCTATGGTTCTATTCCCCCCAAACAAGCATTTACGAGTGAATGTGCATATTATAACTTACCTAACAAGATATTTACAACAGATATAGGTAACAAGTAGAACTCTACATATCTCATGCTACAATG